AGGAAATTGGACTCCATATATATATATATGTATAATTGATTTTATTCATATCACTTTACCAATTTGGTGTATGAAATTTGTTTAATCCCTGTCACTTTCCCATTTTCAATATATTTATCTTAATTATTGACAACTCAGGGGTACATTGGATTAAAACCTGGATGGACAAGAGTGAGCTTTGCCTACTACATAACCGAGGAGGAATGTATTTTCATACTTGATGCCATTGAATTCATTGCAAGCTATGGCCACCTCTTCCTCCCCATGTATCACTTTGATTGGGCCACTGGAGATTGGAATTTTTTGAAATGTGCTTCTAAGTATCATTTTATGCAGGAGGACATATTAATGGAAAGAAAAAATGGCCTCCATTGCTTTCACGTAGCAAAAGGTAGAGCAAGTGATCGGGATCATAAGAGTTCAATGAAGAAGAACCATGGCTGCTTAAAGAATTATATTGAAATTGCAATAAAGATTGCGCATTCTCTTCCTGAGAAGCCTCTCCCAATGAGTATTCCTAATGATGTTGATCCCAAAGTGATCATGTTTAAGATTTAGCGAGCAGTGAAAACTTTATTCTATAAAGGATTCATTTTAGAAAATTTTGGAAGGAATGAATCATGTCTTTTTGGTGTACAGTAAGATTTATTCTTGGAAAAACTCCCTATCAATTCCATGTTGGAGACATGCTATTATTTTGAACTCCTCATTTAATATTGGATGCACCAATTCAATGATGAATTTGAGTACTAAGTTGCTATCATTTTATGTAATTCTATTTGTGAATGAATAAAATAACTCAAAATTCTCTCAATTAATGACCATTCAAGTTTATGTGATTAAGAAACTATTTTGTTATTTGTTGGCCTATAATTGAAAAACATAAAATTTTGTTTAGTATTGTTGAGATGGAATGCTCACGTGGATGAGTGGTTTTACACTTAGAAAATGAGAAATGGATATATTCGTGAAAGGTTTGGAGTGGCTCGAGTGGCAGACAAGATTAGAGGGTCATTTTAGATGGTTTAACCACCTTTAACATCGACCATCTGATGACATTATTAGGATATTAGATGTTTTAGATTTGACTTATTCTAAAAAAAGTTAAAAGTAGAAAAGTAGACCTAAACACACTTGGAATATTGGATAAAAAATGATCTTAATTTATTAGAATTAAATGAAAATATGACACTCAATAAAACACAATGGAGAAAAAAGATTCTTGAATCGACGTCACTTAGTGGGATAATGGTCTATTGTTGTTGGTGGCCTTGTTGTAGTATATGCTTAAAAGGAAACAAATTGAAACATTGTTTGACATGTTTATTTACATTTATTGACAATTTGTTTGTTATTCAACGATTTATTGAAGTCCTAAAAGCTTGATGATGGCTAGTCTACACGTGCGATCATCATCATCATAAGAGGTAATTTTATTTACACTATCATTGATATAGATAAGATTGTATTTTTATTATAACTATCGTTTGATTTGTAGAAATAGAAATCGTAGATGCAATCTTATAACATTTAGCAAATTTTCTTTTTATGTTTGTGCATCAGTATATGTAGATGTAGATAAATTTCATTAAATCATACTAAGCATCATAAATTCAATACAAGCATGAATCTTTTTTCTTGCATAGTTATCGGATAAAACATTGAAATATCAAACTTCTGGTGTTAAATATGTAAATAGATAAGAATTGTGTGGTAGTGTTTCAGTCTTTTTGTTTTGTTTTGTTTTTCCTTCTAATTTTCAATATAGTTTATTTTTCACTATTATTAGTTTAAACAAATCAACTTATATTTATTAATGATGTGCAGTCCTTTAATCTGATAATAATTCTGCCAGCTAATAAAAGGAAGTTGATATTCTCATAAGAAGATAAATCTGCCATCCGACACACAATTTGTATGTATTTATAATTGTACACATGTCTTATGTATTTCTAAACTTTCATATTTACACACAGCGCTCAAATATTTATGCATACAAATTAATACTATTACTACTTTCTAAAACTGAAATATCGTTTAAAGCACCGAAGAGCTGTATATGTAAATATGAAAGTTTTGATGTGAGATATATAAATTAAAAAAAAATTGTGCTAGGCATGTAAATTTTCCTTTACAAATTATTCTACGCAATTTTTTATCTCAGTATTACGTCAACAAGGCGTTGATCCTATGTAGGGTGAACATGGCAAATATTTTCTTATTTCCTTAATGCGTGCTAGAAGATTCACATCAGTAGAGTGATTATTTAGCATCTTAGTGTTGCATGAAAATGCATCACACACTCAAATAATAAATGTGACAAATAGAGACACCAAGATGATGAACAAGATGATAAACTTGCATTGTTTGTCCTATCAAAAATGGCCCCAAGATGTCTACTCTTCATTGGACGAAAGGTTTGAGGCTTAGTAGGGACGTGAGTTCTACTGGTAGCGCAAGGGAAAGGTTGGAGTGCAGTTGATAACTTTTACATTTTTGTGTATAGTCTAGTGAAAGTTGCTTGATCATGGCTCAATAAAACCCCTACTTTATTTATCTTAAGGGCGAGTGCTCTACGTACCTGGTGTTCCCCACATATCCTGAAGTTAACCGCACACAAAGCATAATCAGCTTCGGACGGGGGAAGACATTTAAGGTATGAACTAACAAATGCCTTCTTATATAGTTCATCTCTAATGATGATGAATTTTGTAGCTAGAAGTTGGAGGCAAACTGACACAGTACCATTACATTGGCTCAAGTGTTATGCTGCTGAGGTATGCATGATCTGACACTCTTTTATCCTAGTGAGAAGTATCTTCAACAAGCCGAGATTTTGTACGAGCTGAGTTGTGGGTGTCAAAATCCCATTCTACTTGGGATGCGATGAGCTAGGAATTAGTGTGGATTATCAAATTTCACACCCCGCAGTCAATGACAAGCTTTAGCCCGGAAACGAGGAATTCATACTCGATGATATTGTTGGTGGTTGGAAATTTCAAGTAGATTTCATAGTCAAATATGTCTTTCGAGGAGTGATTAGTATTTAAACACCAACTCTAAAGCTTCCAGGTGCTCAATGGACATATAGAGTTCACTAAGGTGATATCAGGGGAGAAAGAGGTTGTCACCAGAGGCATTTATTGGCTAGTACTTGTGACTTTATCGGGTTGGTACATGTATCAGATGTAAAACTCTCTCAATTCCATTGAACATTTGTTTAACCTTCTAGATATATTTGGCCTTTACAAAATAGCGCTTAGAGGGAGTTGTGTGCAGTTGCTAAGGATGTGTGCCTAGAAGTAAAAACATAACCTTCATGTTGAGTATATCAAGGCTAACAAATTTTTGTTTAGTAATGGGTAGCAACTCCCTATATCGAAGAGAATCTTGCAAACCTAGTAGAGGGGCAGATGGACCAAAATCTCTTCCCTTAGCAAGATAGATTTTATCTTTTGAAGGGAAATAACCAAGTAGATATACACCATCTCTCCTTAGATGGTCTGTGGAAGGAAGAGTGGGGAGTCCAAGTTCTTCTTAAGTTGCTTAAAAATGGTCTGACATTCAACTATCCACTGAAAACTTATATTCTGAGCTCCCTTAAGAATCTTGAAGAATGACAGGTATTTATCCCCAGCATGATCCAAAAAGCCGGAAAAGGAAGTAAGCAACAGTTTGAGCATTGCACTTCCTTGATGTTCCTTGGGGTCACCATATCTTCAATGTCTTGATCTTCTCAGGATTTGCCCGAATCCCATGATGAGTGACCATGAATCCTAAAATTTATTTTTGGAGTGTCTCCAAAGGAACATTTAGCTAGTTTGAGGTGCATGTTGTATCATCGAAGAAGTTGGAAGATATCTTCAAAGTGAGATGTATATTGGGATACCTTCCAACTTTTACTAGCATGACATAGGTCTACACCTCTATTGTTTGCTCGAGGAGGATTTTGAAGACCTTATTCATCAGGTGTTGGTAGGTCACCCTAAGGTTATTTGTCGCATACTCAATGATCTTGTAGCAGTACAAAACCTTGCCCATTTAGAAGGAAGTGGTTTCCTCGTCTCTTGGAATTATATTTATTTGATTGTACTCCAAGTAAACATCCAAAAAATTGAGCATTTGGTGTCTAATGTGGTGCTAATAAGTTGATCTATGTGAGGGAAGGGAATGATATTATTCTGGCATGTCTTATCTTATTGTGGTTGATGTCGTCGATACAAATCCTCCAAGCTCCACTAACTTTCTTAATCATGATGATATTTGTCAATCACGCAGGATTGTGTACCTCTCGTATGAACATAGCATCCAAAAGCTTGTTGAATTTTTATTGGATTGCTCGCAGGCAATATGAAGCAAAGTTTTTCTTCTTTTGCACAAATGAATTGATGGTCAGTCTGCCTTCTAAGGAGTGTCTGCTTACTTTTAGGTCAATTCTAGGCATATCACTTGGGATCCTAGTGAAGATTTCCTCGCTCCTTTGATGAAGATCTGTGACTCTGATCTTTTCTCATTAGAGAGTAAGGAACCAACTTGCACCGCTCATGAGAGATGATCGACCAAGAGTAAAAAATTAATCAAGTCTTCAATGGGAGAAGCTCATTTGGATACATTTTCATCTCGAAAATTAAGGTCGTATATGTTAAGCATCACTAATGAGCTTGGCTAGGCCTGCCTAAGATATCATGATTGTGTTATTTGTTGATTTCCATGTACAATAGCAATCATGATTGGAGTTGGAACCTTAGGTTGAGGTGTGACACAAATGTAACGATACTGAAGATGAACTGGAGGAGCCTCCCGAAGATTGTGTTATAGGTTAATTATGACTTGGCGGCGATGAACTGGATGGAGTGAGTCAATAGTTAAAAAATTATCCCATTATGATAAGATCGTTTATCTTTCCTTTAACTCTAGTTAGCTAAATATTAAACCCATATAATTGGCCAGATGTAGGTTGAAGTTTCTCCCTAGTCAGCCTTAGACTGAGAAAGGCTGAGTAGAATAAGAAGTTTATAAAGCTATCATTCTTGATGAGAATTCTATTCACATTGAAGTAGGGTTCGCCAATGCCTGTGCTGATGATAAGAGGGGGGTCTTGGTGAGGAAATTGGACTCCATCCAATTCAGAATTAGTGAAAGTGATGGGCTTGAAACACAGTTTCTTTTACATGGATTCTTTCGGTGTGATGATGAGGACTTATCAGATAACAATGAGCCTCCAATGACTATTTGAATTTTATCCCTAATTTGGTGCTCCCATGCTGTTGTTTTTGTATTTGCTTTCCTTAATGAGAGGGTTGTTCATATGGTTGGGTTTACCTTGCACAAACAGACCCAAGTACATTTATCAAATTAGTCTCTTGATTTCTTCCTTGAGCTGCTTACATTCTTTGGTGTGTTTGATCATAGCTCTGGTGGAACTGAAACTATCACTCATGATTCCATGAGTTGGGTTTCAACAGGTGAGGCCGCTTGATGGCCTCTTCATTCTTAATGTCCATCAGAATGTTAATATGTGACATCTTAAGCAATGTATAGTCCTCCAGTTGAGTCTCATGTCATTGGTTTGCAGGCCAAGGAGAGAGAACATGATTCTCTTACCTTTCAGATTTTCTTCATTGTACAGTTTGATTGGTGTCCATGGTGTTGTTCTTATGATTGCTTTCAAATTGCTTCAACTACTCCATATGTGTTATAAGGGACTTGTCTATAGTGATTTTAGCTTCAACACAAT